ACAATGCAAACAGAGGACGAGGACGAAAGACAACAAAAAGAAGGCATAGGACAACGAAAACATATAAAAATCAGTTTAAACAAATCAGTATCACTGAGACATTCAAACAAGATGTAGTTGCATCAACGGTACTGAGCAATACTAAAACCACTGTTAGAATAAAAGAACCCTTTTCCCTCCCCTCCTCCCACTTCCCCTCCCCCCTCTCGAACCCAGACTCAAAAATACCACCCCGTTTTGAACGATAAACCCAATCTATCCTTGATCAGCTTCGTAAGCAATTATTCAAAACAATAACCGGAATAAATGTCTGACTGCTCTCTTCACTGAGCAAAAATTTGAACTAAACGTAAAATGAGTGTCAGTACTTTTTGGAACACTAAAAAAGTGCCAATTCTCAAATGATCCGTACACATGGGATTGGTAGATTGCTGGAGGGGCTTAGTTCAAGGAAAAATGAAATCAGAAAATAGCACGAACGAGATCGTCCTTTGCCAAATTTACCGGTGGAAACAACGCAAAGATACCGTGTAAAAAGCGCTGAAAGGGGTGAGGCTAATAACCAAGTTCGGATAATTCAGAAAATTAAACTACGTTTGAGTAATTTAGCAAACATTTTTTGTTAAATTTGGAATATTGCTAGAAAGGATTACAACAAAATAACAAATGCAATGAAACAGAAAGACGAGGTCGAAGAAAATTATGGAGGCGCAACAGCACACAGTACCAGCATGCAGCTTTGAATACACATAATTGACAATCAATTAAATGTATAATTGAATAAACAATAAAAAATAGAAATAATAAAATAGCACAAACAAAAATAAATAAAAAACTGTAAATTATATGGAAATAACAACGAAATCAGAATTTTTGTTTGAAAAATTCTTTTTTGATTAAACATTTTGAGAACTGCGTGCTTCGCTTGTCGCCTCAGCAAAAACAATGTAACAAAATTAACACAGTACTAATTCAGTCGTAATCAGTTCCCAGGTGAAGTCAGTCACGAAATATTTGGTGCTTCATCGAACAGACTGCGATAGGCGGGAATCGTTTCTTACCGGTTTGTTCTTGCTCGTTTTATCCACTTTAAAACACCACCAAAGTCGAAGGCTTTCATCACTGGAAGCGCTCATCACATACTGGCCACAGGGCGACATCGTCAAACCCAGCACACGTTCCGCATGCCCCGTCAGAACCTGCAACAAAGTTGTGAATGTACTCAAAATCAAACAAAATCCAGATGGAAAGCACCAAGCTTGCCGGTGCGATCTTGCGTTTTTGCACCAGACTCGAAGTACTCAAGTCGCTAACTGCATGAGAGGTTATTGCTTCACACCTATGTTTTGCGCTCACTAACATAAATCATCATAAATTTTGCACAAAGGAAATGAATATTTTCCGCTTGACGGTCGTTTTTTGAAAATAACCTAGCTGTTCAGCAAGCATCTCCCTAAAATTTTAGCCTTCCAGTTCTTCTGGTTACCGAGTTAGCAATTTTCCCGCCAAATCTTTCACGTACTTGTACGCAAGAACCCCGAATACCTAGGCGGTGAATTTGAAATCTTTGGCTCATACATGCACAGAGAATATCCCTGCAAATTTTCACCTCTCTAGCTTATCTGATTTTCGAGATCGTTTTTCCGTCAAAAAATTCGCGCAATTTTTTAAGGCGTCCGCACATGGGACTCAAGCGTACGCGGATGATGATATTATAATGGGAGGGTCGCACATGGTGTAAACACATATTCCTGAAGTTCCATTCTTCTAGCTTTTCTAATTCTCGAGTTGAAAGTGGGTGACAAAAAGTGTAAACAAACACACACACACACACACATGCAACCTCTCGCCAATATGCGTTTTCGCATTTGCATATATGCAAAAAATGCATAAAAATGAAAAGAAGCCTGTGATAAATTTTACTCAGACCAGCCGTCATTTCATCGTGGCGCATCACGGCGCTACAGATATTTTTTGGATGTGACGGACAACAATGCAGAATCTGTCTGTAAGTGAAATTGGCTTTCATTCATTCGTCTTCATTCTTTGTGATCATCAACAGCAGCGTCAAATGTATTACGTCTACATCCCCCCCCCCCTTGTGGCCCTACATCTCAAGTACCAATAATCCTCCCCAAAAGCCACGACTAGTAAAAAATATGAACTAGGCATCCATCGGGTACGAGTTCCAAAGCATCGCTTTGATTTACAAATATTCACTAAGACTTTAATCCTTTGTCGCAAAAGCATATATCAAAAAAAAAAAAGGAAAAAAGAGGTACCTTGAGACAAGCCATCGATGGATACTTCCAAATTTTGAGTTCATTGCCAGGATACCCAT